TTTTACTAGTTTTATTTATTTATCATATTAGTATTAAACATAAAAATAAAATATATAAAGAATGTATAAAATTAAAATACAGAGCAGTTTGTTAGCAACAGTTAAATTAGCAGCATCATGTTTCCACTGGCAATGGACGTCGCTAGGGGTCATCAGAGGTTCACACCCCCGCGAGGACTTTTCCCAAAACATTCCGCCTCTACGTCACCAGCTCCCGCCCCGCTCCGCCTCGTGCCACAACGACTCCGGCTTGTCAGCTGCACGAGACGTGCGGCATCTCGTCTCAACCTATGAAAACTGTCAGTCAACGCTAACGTCTAGCTCCTCTCGCTTTAAACTTAAACGTATCTTCGCCGAATAGTGAAGAGCCGGAGCCTGGTTCTAACAGCGGGAACAGAGCCCTGTCACGCCTGCGTGTGTGAGAGTGTGTGCGCCTCCCCGGCGGCTGGCGCCCTTTGTAACTGAAGTAGTGAATGGTAAGTAGCTTTACTGCGTGGCTAGCTGGTAGCATCATCGCTACAGTTGTGTGTCATTCAGCGCTCAACAAACACTAATAGGCGGTAGAAAAGTTACTTTCGGCTGGTCTTACTGCGGCTGTTACTCACTCTCTACCTCCGTGGCTGTTAAAGTGAGATTTAGTTTGAAGTTGTCATTTCTCTCGTTGAGTTTTGAACCTCGTGATCAGGCCAGGGTCCAACTTCTGGCTCGCTGCCACCACCACCTCCTCCTCCTCATTATTATCATTATTGTGCTACATCTGCACATGTCCACCCCATTAAGAGACTGCCTGAGACGACGTGCTTTTGTCCCTAATTAGAAATTAATGGTTATATTTCCAAAGTGTGTGTGGATAACATTCATCTTTGAGATTTTTGTTTTATCCTACCTTTTATGGGGCTGTTTTGTTTTTGTAATCGTGTATTTTATTTGAGGTATTCTGTTGTAGGTTGTGTTTACGATGAGATCTACGTTATTCCAAAAGCTTGACGTTTTTAGCTGCTATAACGTTGAATTCCAAACGCCTACTTATAAACTTAAATAAGTATGGTGTGAATCGGTGAAATAAAACAGAATACAATATGAAAAACGAAATATTCCCGTTATATACAGATTAAAGTCAGATAAGTATAAACAGAAGAAAAATAAAGCAGAAATAAAATTGCTTTCTAAATGTAGTGCAAAGATAACAAATATCAGATGACATTATAATGGATCAGTACGACCGAATGTAGTATTCATATTTTATCTGCTGTAATGTACTAATTGTATATCTCATCTCTTTTTTTTTTTGTGTACTGACATTCAATACTTTATTTATTAAGGTGTCTTGAGCAATAGCATAAAATGATCACATTCTTTAACATCACATGTTTGATCATGGTCTTTTAATCTTTTAATCCCCTGATGTTTGTTTTTTAAAGAGTTGCTTTCTTTTCTCATGCCATTACTTTTTGTATAAGGCCTTCTGTTTTCTCTGCCTGTTTTAAAGTGGAAAGAAAAAAAATAAGTTGTTGTATTAATTATTAGTTTGAAGTTGGTGCCTGTTTTCTAACTTGTGGTAGATGAAATATTGAATGGCTTTCTCCATCTTGAAAGAAGAGGAAATAGATATGAGAAAGGGGAGGACAACATATGATGTTTTACTATCATGTGAAAAAGAAAGTATAGTGGTACATAGAGCAGGGCAATATGACCAAAAACATTTATCACGATATACATTTGAAAATTTGTGAAAACGATATAACTGACGATATAACTGACACTAGACAAAATACTTTACAACTCCACAACTTTATTAGTGAAAAAAAAACATCTATGTATTTTCACTTAAACAAGCAGCTGTTTTTTATGTGCATTAAAGTTATATTAAAATGTAACAGTGCAAATGCAAATTCCTTACTGAAAGTTTAACCAAAAGGCATTTCCAGTGGAAATTGGCCGACATATCCTCAGCATAACCATGTATAATATCCACAAAACTTAAAAAGAGGTTATACACACACAATAGGGTAATATTATGTTGAAGCACAGTACGTATCACTCCGCCAGGCTCCTGACTACGATAGCCGTAATGCTCCGACAATCCATCGTAGCTTAGCAAAGTCGTACTAAAACATTTGACAGATTTTCGAGCGCCGTGCACATAAAATCGTTTCGAGGTCAGTAAACACAACCAGAATTCATACATAAGGCCCATTGGATTATAAGGGGCACTGTCGATTTTCAGAAAAATCAAAGGATTGATTTTAAGTGTGCTGTATTTTCCAAAGAACACAGTAATAACGACAGCCCACTAGAATGCTCTACCAAAAATAGTGCTTTGTTGTGTATCTGACAGACGACAGCCAAACCAGTTCCACACCACTTAAGTTGCAGCATTTTTACAAACCAATTCTGGTTCATCCATTTCATTCAACGATTTGCTTTTTCCGACATGTGCGTATGAAAATAAAGGCACTGCGCATGCGCGTTTTACCCATATTCTATCGCGATATTTCATCTTCCTATCGTTGCCCAAAATTATACCGGTATTACCGTGAACGGTATGATATGGCCCAGCCCTAGTGGTACATAAAGTCCTATGACAATTTTGTCACAGGACTGTATGTGCCTGAGACCACTTGTCCACTATTGACTCTTTCTTGACTTTAGGTTGTCTGTGGAACAAAAACACTAAAAAGTTCTGTAATTTCACTCTGACAGTCATGTGCTGTATTGTGAAACGAGCACTGCATGAAAAACCAGATTTTCAACCTCAAGATCACCTGCAGATCTAACCCAATCCTGGCAGTTAACAACTGATCATGGTCTTTGATTAGAACCTGTAATTAGTAATATGAACGATGTTGAACTATCAAACAGAAAAGTTGCCTAACCCTCCCAGGTCGAGGCTTCTCAAACTCTACTTTTCTTTTATGTTATATTTTTATCGATTAGAAATGTTAATTTACTTTTATGGGGACACTTACACTCTGAGTAATTTAAAATATTAACTATAGCTTAATAGTGATTAATCAGATGAATCCTTACTTAAAGTAATTGATAGTTGCTGCCTTTAACACTACTCAGCTTGTGCACCAGTATACTGTTTTCAGTAATGCTCAGATTGGCGTGTCATCCTAATGAAACTGAAAAGACACTTAAGTCCCCTGTACAAAAGTGTTATTGTCCAGTCTTTGTAGTCACTCTGGGTGTTATGTGACTGGCTCCTCTCAGTCATAGTCGGGTATTTCTGCCAGGAAGCAGGTAATCAGTGACGTGACACGTATGCTATGACAGAAACTATGTGAGTTTGGTGTTGACAGCCTCGAGGCTGTAATGCAAGTCCAAACTGAGCTTTTAATAAACCTCTGTGAGTTTGTTTCAGGCCATTTCAGTCAGGCTTTTCTTCATTCCAATGCTCTCATCTTTAATTCTGCTTATCCGTGTCCAGGTGATGTTGTTGTTGTTTGTCTGTATTAACAAAGTGCTTGCAAATGCAATGTTTTGAACAAGAGACTTTAAAACAGCCATCAGATGTGGCATTGTCTGAGGAAGAACCTTGACATAAACCTGAAATTTGAGAGAGATTATATTTACTTTCAGCTTTCAGTGATGCATGAGCGTAGCAAGAAGGCTGTGTTGGGAAACACTGAGTCACAGCTGCCCAACAGTGACAACCAGTTTCTTCCTGAGGGTTCAAAGCCTTAGCAACATTCAACACAGGACGGAGTCAAAGGCAGACATGATTGAAGCTTGTTTAGATATACATGCTATCAATTGAATCCTCTGTACCAACACATGCATACGCACTTAGCCTTCAAGTTACTACATTTATTTTAGCAGCAGAGTTGATTTAGGTATGACTCATAAATTCAATAAATTATACTGTAGTACTATTTGCATTTGATTTACCTACATTGTTTTGTTTATATATGAAAGATTGAAACTTAATCATGCATGGATTTCACAACCTTCCTTTATTCTTGCCACACTAATAGGCCAGTTCATGTTATATAAAAAATTGTAGAAGTAGATTGACAAATTAGTGGTAGGAAGCATTTTTATGACTAATTATAACACAGGCCACATATAAGTATATGACTGGGATTATAAATGGCCTATACTTCCTCTTTGTTCCCATGTCTTATTCTGGATCAGCCAACTATGAATAGGAAAGGTTAGGTAGTACCATGCCTTGTGAAGCCATGCACATTCTGTCACCCTGAGTGCTTAGAAACCAAGTGACCTTTCAGTTTAAAAAGGAAATGTTTTCTTCTGAGGGAATTAAATAAAAATGAACTTTGATTCAAGCTCTTGATATAATTTTCCCACCCTTTCAGGCCCAGGCAGAAAGAAATGAGCTGGGCTGAGGAGGACTGGACAGTAGGGCTGTCTGGACGGGTCCTGCAAAAGGTGAAGGAGCTGCAAATCCATCATGAACGGCTGTCCAGGGAAAACAAGCAGAAACAGCTGCAGCTGGACAACATCCATACAAGCCTTGAGAAGCAAACTGTGAAAGTATGAACACTTATACTGTTCCTCACACAATTTACATGACAAATAACTGAAACACAAGTATTAGTAACTTTGTGATTTGGTACTGTTGACTTTCCAAGTTTAGTTAAGGCTGTAAGAAATCATCTAACTTTGTCATGCTTCTGAACTGGACTGGATTTTTGGAGTCAGCCAGCAGGTTCAACCCAAGAACCTTGCTGTTGTGAGACAGTAGTACTAACTACTGCACCACCTAGTACCTATTATGGTTGATGTAATGCTGCCTTTTCCAAAAACAATATGCTAAATCTAGATTAACATTAGGAAATCTTCTTATTGGAAGCTCAATTTGGAAGTTATCTAAAATTTAACAAGTAGTATCTCTGTGATCAGTGAGAGCTCAGTCTCTCACTGACTGCTGACCATGGATCCACTGGCACTGGCTCAGGAAGCTGCTCCTGCCACCTGCTGTGGCATTGAGCGCTTAGGCAGACCACAGAAAAATTACATAATCTGTAGGAAATTAGTATTTTTTATGAGTGCTTCTTTAAATGCACACTTTTTCATCGGAATTACACAAAATAATAAAATCATGCATTAGCTTTTCAAGAAATTTTATGTAGAGAAAAAGTTGACCTACATGTTGCTCTTCAAGGAAATACAGTTCCTGTAATTTTAATCTTCTCTAAATAACATTGTGCAAATATTGTCATGAAGGGTGAGTCATCTGTAGCAGGATTTCCTTAAATAATCATTAAATATATACTTCTCCCTCTCTCTCCTTTTTCCTCCTTTTTTCTGCCAAGTATGAGGAGGTACGTGTGGAGCTGCAGTCGGTGCAGCGAGAGCTCCAAAACGTTCGGGATGAGGCCACAACAGCGGTGACGAGCAGGGACCGTCTTACGCAGGAGCTTCAGACTAAGCAGGCCCAAGTTTGCTCTTTGGAGGGCCAGCTAGATGCTGCTCGTACCCTCAACAACAAACTCGCCCAGGAAATCAAAAGGTCAGCATGAGCTAAAAACCACAGAGGCAAGAAGCTTCTCTCAATTTTAAATTCATCTGGTTTTGGTATTTATGTATTGTTTTCACTGAATGTTTGAAATATAGTGACGTTTGGTATTCTTAGGATAACTTAGTTTGAATTAAACTTGATAGTTAAATACAATCGGTCTTAAGGGGGCGGGGGGTAAAAAGGGGGGATTTGGAAGGTAAAACTAAAACTGATTGTTGGAACTACATGCATCACTAAAAATCAGACAATAGACATTACATTTTGATAGTATAGGAAGCTGTCTTAAATGGAGATGTCCCAGTCAGCTTTTTGGATGTTGATTGGGTACAGTCCCTATATTATTCAATCTGATACTTGCATTAGCCAAAGTAATTGTTAGATATGTTTTCTTCTGCTCTGTTCCAGTAATTTGCATACAAGTGGCTTTATTTATTTATTTATTAATTAATTGGCGTATTGTACACTAACTGTTTATGGTTACCATACCACTTTGTTTATAATTCACTTTTGAAAAACAACAACAGGTCTGACCAAAGTGCTGTACAATAAAACTAAACATAAAAGATGAACAGAGGCCAGAGGGTAAAAAAAAAAAACCTGACACGAATAAGACCTGTAGAAGTTAAACAATAAAGGACTACATAAAAAGCAACTTAAAAACACAGTAAGCATATCACACTGGGTCAAAGGCCAGGGAATAAAAGTATGTAAACAAGATTTTAAAATGACAAGTTAAGGAGCCTGCTTGGCATGCGGTGGCATATTGTTCCACAGTCTTGGAGCTGCAACTATGAAAGCTCCATCCCCTCTGATTTTTCATTATATTACCAGGTTATTGTATAAAACAGAAAAGTACTATTGATTACCATATACATGTAAATAAAAACAGAATGCAATGATTTGCAAATCTCATAAGCCCATTTTTATTGACAGTAGAACATAGAAAACGTCATATTTTTCAACTTTAACATTTTACTATTTAGCTTATATTAGCTTATATTGAATTTGATTATCAAAAAGGTTAAGAAGGGTGGTTCTAAATAGCAACAGCTGGAGGAACATTTTGAACTAATTAGGTGAATTGACAGTTTCTCGGAAGTAAAAATGAGCAGAGGTTCACCAGTCAGTAAAAAAACTGCTTATATGTTCCTCAACCTAAAATTCTGAAGGCTCTCTCATCATCTACAGTACATGATGAGTTATGTTAATATTTTTTTTAAATGATTGTTGGATGGCACATATTGCTATGAATTGTGGGAGGGCATACTTTTCTTTCATAAGTGATAGCTTAGTGTAACCTTGACTAAAAGAGTTAAACCACATTTTGAAGGAACAGCTTTTCTCAGTTTGTAGAGAATTCAGCCAGCTGTTATCATTGTTTTTGCATATACTACTGGATCTCGTCCTTCAGCTAGGATGTTTACTAAGCAAATCTGACTTTTTGACCTCAGCCCTCATTTCCTGTAAGAAATATCTCCATTTCTCTTCCCACTCTAAACTCTTTCACTCTGTGTCTTCTTTCTGTGGCAGGCTGGAAGCCGAGCTAGAGAAGCTGCAGAACAGCATCAGGTCACCAGATACCTCTCTGTTTTCTACTCCCTGCTGGAATACAGGCTCGCCCTGGGAACACAATGGTACAGTTTTCTAAACTGTAAAATTATTAATTGGTTTAATCTCTATGGCAGTTTATTTCTAATATTTTATTAAAACTCTTTACAGTTAAGAGAATTAAATAGTTAAACCACCAGAGTCCCAAATGAGCAGTGGATATAAATAAACCCCCTTGAGCTACATTGCTTTCCCAGCCCTCTACTCTCTAAGGACAGTTTGTTTGTCTTTCCTCTCGTCACTAAACCACTTGGTAATTTACAGCTGTTGTTCCTGTTCAGTTTTTGTGATCGGTTGTAGGTACTAAGTTCAGTCCATATGCTTTGTTTTTGCCCTGTAGGGAGCCGACAGGAAGAGAAACAGGGGCACAGAGATGAAGGGCAGAGCCGGGCTCCTCACATCCGAGTAAGTCTGAACATGTTCTCACACTGAGCTATGTGTAAGCTAATCCAAGACTGCTGTGGATTGTAGCTGAAAGCTGATGTTCTCTACTTGGAGGATTTAACTGTCTTATTAGCAAAGCAAAACATCCCTCCTTATTTGATTAGTTTTCCTTTTAGTCTTAAGTAATTAAGTCTTTCCAAATAAGTGGCCCAGATGGCTGTAACTGTTTCCTAAATGTGAACTACTGCAGCACATGGTGCATTTAAAAAAAACAGATGAAACAACATTGTACTTAATTTCTCTATTTTTAAACATGACAATGTAGTTAAGAGTTTTTATAGAAGGTTAAAGAGCATCAGTGTCTGTTATCAGGGTGTTATTGTGTTTTTCAAATTTCATTCTGGCCTTGTGATAAGGACAGGAAGAATTTGTATTTTAAAGTTGTTCTGTCCTTATAATGGAGTTTTTTTTCTGGTTAAATTTAGATGTTAAAAACAACACCTTGGCTCACAGCTCTTTGTTTAACAGCAAGGTTCTTTCTTCTAGTAGTCAGCTGAAAGGATAAGATTGGCAGTGTTATCAAAAATTTTAAAGGATGACCAAATCTAACTTTATATACACATTTTTAACTGAAGACCAAAAACTTTAAAA